GTGTTGCATTCCAGTGTGGCGCACACCCAGATTTCAAAGAACACAGCATCGTCGTCGTTTTGTGTTGATTGGATTGCGGACTCAGGTGCCGGTAGGAGTTTGGGAAGTGTTTCGTCACTCGAGGCAGGTGGGATTCCCAGTGGGTTGATCAAAGACAACGCCACCACCACGGAGTTTCCCATTGATTTCGCCACAGGTGGAGGTGCAAGAAGAGGGGACCAGACCATTGGATATGAGGGTGATGTATTTGGTCATACCAATGCATATCTTCTTCCAAAGGGTTGTCCATTGGTTCGCAGTCTCGGGGAAATAGTCAACCAACAAAATCGACCATTTATTTGGCTGCCTGGTGAACTGCCATTCTTTGTGAATAGCGTTGATCTTCTTCAGATAGCATGTTCCCATGAGGACCGCATAGTGGCTCACCGTGTTGAAGAAAATGTGCCAATTTTCCGGGAAAACATCAAGATTGTTCCTGGGATGCCGGGCGAAGCCAAAGGCTCCAAAACGGACACGCCCGACTCAGCAGTTTCAATGCTCGAGCCGGATGAGGGCTCCAAAATTGGGGCGAAAGAGGGCTCCAAAATTGGGGCGCCGGCATCAGATGCAGACTCTGAAGGCGGGGTAGAGTGGATCACAGCTGAGATAAAGCGTGCACGATCTATTGAGCATCGGTTGGCCCATTTTCCAAAGAGCAGTCAATGTTTGGATTGTAAAATAGCTAAGTGCTACAAGAAACGTGTTTCCAAGAAACGAGAGTACGAACTTCTTGATCGGGGCCTTGATCCTGTGAAAGCTTTCGGGGAAAGGATTGCTGTAGACTTTATTGTTGTTAGTAAGACTGCTGAATCCAAAACTGATCACTATGTTCTCATGATTCGCGATGAATGGTCAGGTTTTCTCCAGGGCATTCCCATGTTTTCACGTGATGGGGATCTCATCGTTTCTCACATCAAGAAGTTTCTTGGACCGCGTGTTTCAGCCAACACTCTTGTTTGTAAAGCAGATGCAGCCAAAGAGTTTCAGTATGCAGCCGAACAGCTTGGAGCATACTATGAGCCAACACTCGAGAGGTATTGGCCGCATAACTCACGGCTAGAACGGGACATTCGAACTTTTCAGGAGTCAGTGAGAGCAACTCACTTGTCTTCTGGCTTTGCTGCGTATCCATCCTTGTGGCCAATCACCGTGCAATACTGCACAGTCTCGCTTGCATTAGGATGGAATCAGCCCGATGTTGAACCATCCGAAGGGGAAAGACACTTGACACGCCTTGAGGCAGCTTCAGGTCAAAGATTTGATGGGCCACATTGGTTGTTGGGTCAGTTGGTTTATTACAGGGTCAGTGATCGCACAAAGCTCCACAAGTTTTCTGGTTCTTGTGTTCCGGGGATCTTTGCAGGATGGCGTCTTGAGAATGGATGTCGTTACAGGGGGGTTGTGTTGATTTTGGATTATGAGAAAGTTCGCACTCAGGCCAAAGGTTTTGAAAATCTGATTGCGGTACCACAAGAAGAGGTAGTCTTTGATGATCATCTAACTTTACCACTGAAAGTTGCTCACAGAGAATCGCTCACTAAGTTCAACACAGAAGATCCATCAAAGATTCCACCCATCAGCATTCCCTTCAGTGATGAACCCATCGAGCTTCCAGCCAAGACCCGTGCCGAGTACATCACATTGGATCGTCTCATCAAGTACGGTGGCACTGATGACTGCAGAGGTTGTGAGATGCTCACCTCGAGACATTCCAAGGCATGTAGGGATAGGTTCAATCGCCTCATCCGTGCAGACAAGCCAGTGCCGGTTGAGGCAAAGCCTCGGCCTGTATCTGCAGATGATATTCGCGATGGTCAAGGGTCTGGGTCGCCAACGTTCGCTTTACGCGACTTGGCAGAACCCGGGCTTGAAGATGACCTTGTTCCTGAATGTCCGCCGCCAGATGCTGACGAAGCAGCACCGTCGCCAGGGTACGAGCCTAGCATCTTGGCAGATGATGAGGCCCCACCAATCGAAGGTATGATTGCCGCTTCGCAATCACACGAGGTGTGGGGAGGCCTATCCCGAATCAGACGCCTTTCAACTGACCTCCCTGGGGTTGGGGTGTTGTATGAATATGCTTGCAGTGGGGACTCATTGATTGGGGAAATAATACCACAATACGATATCAAAGTTGTTCGGTTGAGCAAGGATGTCATAGACCTTAGCAATTTTCAACATGTTCTTCAGCTTGTCGAGCAGTTGAAGTCCCATCATGGCGCAGACATTTGGATTTCACTTCCTTGCGACCCGTGGTCCAACCTGCAAGAACTCAACATTCACCGCCTTGGGGAATCCTTTCTGAATGATCTCACCCAAAAACAGGAGGACTCCTCATACATGGTGGATTTAGCTTTACAGGTTGGGGAATATGTGATCACTCACAATGGTCGCTTTGTCTGGGAATGGCCGACCTACTGCAAAGGATGGCGACTTCCAAACCTCGTCGAATTTTGCAGGCGGCACCAGCTCATGATGGTGCAGTTTCATGGGTGTATGCTCCAGCTGAAGGGCAAACGAAACAAGTTATTGAAGAAACCATGGATGTTGGCCACCAATGATCGTAGAATCGTTGAGTTGTTTGCGGAAATGCAGTGCAACCACACAGCAGAGCAACATGAGCCATGTGAGGGAGGCAATGCTGCTAAAACCGCATTTTACACCATCCCATTTGTGAACCTTGTTGCCGAAGCCTTATTTCCTAAGCAGTTCTATTCGTCACACATCCCAGCTCTAGGTTGTCAGCCAGCCCAAGAACAGGATCACTGTGATGAGCTTGGAACTGATGTACAGGCATTTGGTTTAGTGACCAAGGCACTCAATCGTAGCCAGTGGAGCACAGATCCACGTGCTTTGGCAGCCATCGAGAAAGAGTGCCAAGGACTACGCTCGAACGAGACATGGGATGATTCGACAGTTTGTGATCTTGATCAGTTGATATTCCAATCAAAAACCTTAGGTCAGAATGTTCGTATTGCTGAACTTTTGGTTTTGTGCGGTATCAAGCACGCTGAACTTGATGAATCCAAACATAAATATAAGGGAAGAATTGTATACAGGGGTGACAAAGTGTTTACACAAAATGGGGACATCGTTCTCTTCACTGAAGTGTCCACATCACCAACTACACTGATAGCCCTGAATGTTTGCCTGTGGTGGGGCGCCCTTGAAGGGCATGCTACATCAACTGCAGACGCAGTGCAAGCATTCTTGCAGAGCTACCTTCCTGAAGATGAGCTCACGTTCGTTATTTTGCCACGACAATTGTGGCTGAGCCAGTGGAAATCCAAATTCAATGGCAAAGTTGCCGTGAGGCTTCGAAAGTCCTTATACGGACATCCGCAGGCTGGCCGCCTATGGCAAGAGTTTTTGGAGACCCGGATCTCCAGAATTGGAGCTCAACAAATCCAGGGGTTCCCTAGCAACTTTCTGTTTAACCTTGATGGCCACAGAATGCTTCTCAACATTTATGTCGATGACCTGACACTATCAGGAGCTTCGCATCTGCATACCAAGTTTTGGCAGCGGTTTTCTGAACTCATCAAGATCGAGGATCCGCAAACCTTGCTTCCAAACAATGCAGTGCTCATTTTGGGTCGTTTGCATGAACTTGAAACCCCACAAACCATAGTTATGTCCATGGTTGGATATGCTGATCAATTCGTGCAGTTATATCTCGAAATCACTGGTGTTGATCCGAAATCATTGCGTAAGGTTGCCACTCCTCACATCAATGATAGCACGCTAGCTGACGCTTTGTACGAACAACCAGGATCCATGAAACCACATGCATCAAAGGTGCTGATGAAGGGTCTCTGGTTGGCAAGACTTTGTCGACCAGACATTAGTTTTTCAGTAGGCAGGCTGGCGAGCAGGATCACAGTATGGAGCCGAGCAGAAGACGTTCATCTCCACCGCCTTGTGGCATACGTGCACTGGACTAGGGAGTATAAAATGATATGTCAAGCTGGCACACTTAGTGACACAGAGCTACATGTATATGCAGATGCTGACCTCGCATCATGCGTGCATACTGCGCGATCAACGTCCGGCATGATGATTTTTCTCTCTTCTGGAGCTTCGCGTTGGCCGATCGCATGGAACTCGCGACGCCAAACGTCAGTCGCTCGTTCGACAACAGAGGCAGAGATAATTTCAATGGCTGGAGCAGTGTTTTCCGAAGGACAGCCTTTGCTTGATTTGCTCGGGCAGCTCCTTGGTCGTCAAATCACAATGCGACTCAAAGAGGACAACGCTGCAACCTTGTCCATCCTACACTCAGGGTATTCGGTTAAGTTACGACATGCATCACGCACTCATCGCATTGATTTGGCTAGCCTTGCCGAGCTCATCAATGAGCGACACATGCAGCCAGAACATGTGAACTCTGAAGACCAATCAGCAGATGCACTAACAAAGGTAATTCAACCGATGCTTTGGGATCGACTACTTCAACTACTGAGTGTCCGACAATCTACACCTTAGACTTGTCAGGGTGTTGTCCGCTCGCCACTCAAAATGAGGGGGGAGTTGAATGGGACATACACTTCTGGTACATAACATTTCTCAGGCGTAGCAGGACTAGGAAACTTAAAGGTCATGCTTTTACCCACTGCTTGACCCGTGGTTTCACATAGTTCAATATGTTACATTTGGCTCAAGTAAAACAGTCCGGTGTCTTGGTTTGCGCGGGTACCGGGTGAGTTTTGCATTCAAATAACTTAATTAAGACATAATTACATACAATGTGGCCCCCCCAGTTATAAGTTGGTTTTTAAGCCCCAGTAACTATAGTTATAAGTACCATAAACCATAGTTATTGGAGTTATAAACCAACTTAGCTATCTTGGGGGCCTCACATTGTAGAGATATCATGTTGTAAATGCGCATATCCTTCTTTCTGTCATGCTAATTTCATACATATGTTTTCCACATTTGTTTGTTTGTCCGGCTGATCTCAGGACATCCAGCAAATCAGTTGCAGTTCCGGCGCCTTCTGCGCGCTCCGTGGTGATGGTCATGTGGCACCCTGGTGGACATTGCGCACCGGGATTTACCCTCCGGTAATCAAACATGGCAATGGAAAATACACTGGAAATGGTGGGTTGGAACCATGGAATTTTATGACTTTCCATATATATATATATATATCCATATATTGGGAATGTCATCATCCCAACTGACTTTCACTCCATCATTTTTCAGAGGGGTAGGTCAACCACCAACCAGACGATTTAGTTCGGTGACGTTCCTATTGAAACCCCCATTTCCAGTGGATTTCCAGCCACGGAAATGACGACACCGGAGGGTGATTCCTAAGATGGCGATTTTTGATGGAAACATACAATGTGGGGCCCCCAAGATAGTTACCTTGGTTTATAACTCCAATAACTATGGTTTATGGTACGCAAATAACTATAGTTACTGGGGCTTATAAACCAACGTTCACATCACTGGGGGGCCACACATGGTAGTGGGTGTAGTGGTGATTTACAGTACCCAAAAGACATGTAACGGTTTTCTCCGTGGCCCAACACGGTCCAGGTATGGAGCACGTTTCTGGTGATTTTTTGTTTTTGTTGATCATACATATTGATCAGTAAACATTCCAGGGTAAAAAACACATATCCCATAGTTGTTCCTCTCATAACACATCATCAACGGTATACCCATGTCTCAGATTCTTCCCGGCCAGGGTGCTGCCAAATCTTTAGTCTGATCGCTGCACTCAAATCCCAAATTGTTGATTAACAATATTGCGTTTTCCAAGCTCAAGACAAGGCTCCAAGGGGTTAATTAACATCCAGTCGTTGAAGCTATCACATGGTATCATTTCCTATAGAAGGTGGTGCCCTGAAAAATTGCAAGCAGCGCATCGCATGATTTTCCATGAGCCCACGAAGGCTACTTAAAGGCCAATTCAGCGTAGCCTGGCACCTAAGAACCAAAAACCATCAAGATCATCCATTCAGATGCCACTGGGATGGGATACATTGGGATACAGCAAATCGCGTTACGGCGAATCGTGGCAGATTTTTTCTGAAAATAAAATATCGGTAATTTGCATGAAGTTGCCATTATTTCCCAATTTTCAAGTAATATCCATAAATGATCAACTTGCCATTAAAATTTGGTGAAGCATAAATGACAGTATCCCTGTCACTTATAATAATCTCCAATTTGTATTCCCATTTCTATTGGTTAGTATATTTCCCTCTATTCTCTCTATGTAACTTGCCATTATTTCCCTACATCCCTGTGTTATCCCTTTGCATAGCGGCCTCTTTTCCCATGGTCCCATGACACGGTGGTTTCGCTGGCAGGTCACCTGGGGCGCGGCTGACTTGGGCGGACGGATACCGCGGCTGGTGCGAGAGAAGCTGCTGGGGGTGAAGGAGGTGGGATGACTCCGACCCTCTGGCAATCAAATGTAGCAATGGACAATCAGGCATACCCGGCCTGGTAAACGTTTACATAGCGAACTGGAAAATCACCATTGTTCATAGGTAAATCAACTATAAATGAGCCATATTCAATAGCTGCGTTAAATTACCAGAGGGTGCAATATATATATATATATGTATATATATATCTGGGCAAATTATAGCGACCTCACTGTTCTCCCTCACTGGAATCATGGTTAATAAGGGGAATCATCCCCAAATGGCCGAACTATTCAGGTAAGTGAAATATTATAATTTTCCCATATATATATATATATGTATGGGGGATTCCTAAAATGGAGGTACCCCAAAATTGATGGTTTCTAGTGGAAAATATTGTCAACATGGATGATTGGGGGTTGCCCCTATTTTAGGAAACCTCCATATAGATGATTTAACATTAAACCCTCCATTTATATGTATACCGATAACGGAGGGAACTATATGATAAATATTGATAAATGGAAGAACTAGATGCTAAATTGGATAAGCCAACTTTAGGGAATCATATCATAAATCTCAGACTCAAATCATACTATACATCCTAATGAGGATATGACTGATATGACGGAGATATATTGGATAAACAATGGAACTGGGAATATCTTGTTTTTTGTGGAATACACTATTTCAAACGAATAGACACTACAGAGTTAATAAGGGAAATAACGGTGTGACAGTACTCGGCCTCCACGACTCTTGAGAGTGATCGATTGCGAATATATATATATATATGTACTTGAAAATATTACGTCAAAATATCAACATATCGTTTGAATATGTATACACATATACTGGTTGGTGGTTTCAACTATTTTTTGTTTTCCATAATATATGAGATAATCCTTCCCATTGACTTTCATATTTTTCAAGATGGTTGAAACCACCAACCAGCATATATTTCTTATATATATATACTGCAGGAAACCCAATAATGAAACATACCATTTGGGGATAGCTCATAGCACCCACACACAACATGGTGATTTTCGGGAAATTGTGTTTACCACATTAATCACCAGTATTAATCATCATACGACATCATTAATCATGTACCATTGATTTTCCATAAACCTTGGCGCAAAGATGAATAATTCCCTATCTGAATCCAAGAAATGTGAGTATTACATACGAATACCCAACTATTAACCACTAATAACCACTGCCAACCATTTTTAACTATAAAATTAACAACCAACAATCACCCCAAAATAATTTCAAAGCCTATTATTGCCATATGTGCGTGAATGTCCATCCATTTACCAACTAGTTTGATGTTTGCCAATGTGCTAAGGTTTTGACCCATAACCATGCGAGTTGTTTTTTGATCACCATCATAAATCAACATTATCCACTATTAACCATTATATAACCATTGATTAAGTATTAACCATTACCAGCCATTATTAACCACAAAAAATCATCCGTATCATCCCAATCATCCCAATCATCCCAATTAACCATTATTAACATTTAATGACCCTTACTAACCATCATTAACAATTACAAACCATTACTAACCATTATTAACAATTAACAATTAGGATGTTGTAACATTAGGATGTTCTTTTTCCCATGCGCTAGGTGCAGGCGTCGCAAGGCGCTTTCGCAGCATTGCTGCACGACGGCTCCGTGGTCACCTGGGGCGACGTGGATTACGGTGGCGAGTCGCAGGTCTACAAGGCGTGCATCCAGGGTGTCAAAGTTGGAGCTATTTTAAGACTAAAAATGGTGATTTCATGGGATTTCATGGGATTTCAACAAGGAAAACATGTGATTGAACGGGATTTCAACTAGGAAAAACTGTGATTTAATGAAATTGAATGGGATTTAATTAAGAAACAATGGTGAGTTAATGGGATTTAACCAACAAAAATGGGAATGGGGTTCTGTCAAGATCGGTGTGATTTGTTGGGTCAATATTTATGAGTGTTTTTTTACAAATATGTTGAAACAATTTTGAAACAACTATATAGTTATATAATGTTGTATATTTAGATATAACTCATATATATATATATATATATATATACAGAGATTGTAAATAGAGTTAGAGCCAGCAAATCTACATTCTTGGACGTTCGTCTCAAAGTCACGCGAACGTGTGAGACCGGTGCACACGCCGACGAGTGTTGCGTGAGCGTGCGGACCCGTTGCACCAAACGCACGAAGCGACTTGACCTTGGTAAGACGCTGGGACCACGGGGCCGCAACGCCTGACCGCAGGATAGCATCAAAAGCCAGAAAATCTACAGAGATGTAGCGTAAATATGATTTTTTTTGGGGTAAATATGCATAATATGGGACTAGGATGTCAAAAATAGACATTGTGCGTAGTACATGGTGGCGCCCCCAGTTGTAAGTTGGTTCATGAATTTGTTTATATATACATATATCTAATAACAACCCCTAGTTTATTTACCTTACAAACCAATTTGGTTAATTGAACTTTAACTGGCGTGATCCCATCGATAGTGGGAATACAACCAAGTGGAAATGTGATCATTTCTTTCTTTTTTTTGCAAATGGTTCGTTGTTTGGGTATAGAATATATACAAATCTACCCCAGTAAGGGGCCATGAGCCCTAATTCCTGAAACAATTGCCGTGTGAAATCCCTACAAGTAGGAATACCATGATGACGATGTTGTTGGAACCATGTTGTCGTGATGGGATTAGGTTCCCTATTTGCAAGTGTGATGCCAGTAACAATGAGTTCCTAGGATGGTAAAACAAAAATATATGGTCAGATACTTTTTTTTTGCGAATTTAAGACCAAAACACTAATGTGTCCCCACCGTTGACAATTTGCGTCTTCGCACCCAAAGCAGGAGGAACTTCAAGACGTGCGTGCTCTGCGTTCCTCTTTCTCCCTGTTTGCTGCCATTTGTGGTGACGACCGACATGTTGTGACATGGGGAAATTGCAGCGTCATTGCCACTGGGCTGAGAGATGCAATGGGCACGTCTGGTTGACTTTTGAATCCAAGGACTTTTAATTAATTCAAGAAGTGTTTGGGTTTGACAACCTCTGCAGTATCCCCCTCCGGCACCAAAGCATGTCGGTGTTCAATTGGTTTATTTTGCATGTCACATGAACAATCATGACCCCTGAAAGGCCAGCAGTAGGTGTGTCGTTGTGTGTCGTGTCCATGCGCATGTGCTCACCTATTTCCAGTTTGGCCCCTTGATTAGCCTGACAAAATCTGACAAAGTTTACACCTTGGAATTACGCATGTGCGGTTTGAATTTAAGACCGCCAAATTCGGAAGGTGGAACAACACCAACTAACCATGTGATATATAGGTCACTCTGCGGCCAATACACACGTATACTGATCTGAAACTACCAAGCGGTCCGACTATAGTTGGATCATGCCACTTAGTGCCACGTAACTCCCCCCAAAAAAACAAACCAACATGAATATAGATTCAATATCAAACGACCAAGGCTTTTCAGGTGGTATTTGATAGTAGGCTTAGCAGGACCGTAGGAACAGTAGGGGGAAGGGATTATGACCACAACCCTGCTTTAAATGAATTGCAATTGCCTCACAAATCTGTAACTTGTTTTTTTATGTAAAATTATTTGTAGTTCAAAGGCACAAAACTGTGTGTATTTCCCATTGGAATGATCCTAGTCCCAAACGTTGCCCATAAATGTGGGATATAAATCGATATAATGTGCGTAAAACAATTTCATAAACCAGCCATGACTGGGAATGGTAAACTTACAAAACCTATAAAAATGCTGATGTTTTTTGGGGATGGTTTATATTCATGGCATTGTTTTACTCACATAAAAATATCAATGACATACCCTACGATTTCCGCCAAACAGATGGCCATTTTGGGATCAGACCCCCGTTCTAGGCAGGGCATCGCACCGGTTTGCATCCCAGTCTTCGAAACTTGGACTGTGGGGTCAGAGAGATGTACCTCACCGAAAAAAGGGGACATGAAACTCACCACCATGGGGATATATTTGAAAATATACATATGATATATTTATTTATATATATATATACATATAATATATATATATATATATACATATAATATATATATATATATCTCAATTATATAGATACATATATATATATATGTATAAAGGCAACTAGATGATATTTGGGTTTGAAAATCCAGAAATGATGTATAACCCCATAACCATTTCTGTGGGGAAAATGATGTCTTATCCGGGGGACACTATTTTCAGACATATGTGTCCTGAATAAACCTTGGATAGTCTGATAGTCTAGTGATGTTTAGTAAGGTTTGCTGACCAGCTCCTGGCCAGATGATCTGACAAAGTGCCATGTGGAGCCCTCAAGTTCGCTAGGTTTCTGTCATTTGAACTGACAAAGTTTCAGGTTTTTGATCGATATTCATCGTTGATGGGTCTCTGACTATAGACCAACCTATAACTGGAGAGCCCACATTGTAGATGACTGGGGCCAGAATGATGATAAACCATTGGATGCGTTTTTCCCTTGTTTCATTCGCAGTCAGGGTTTATGATGATTGGATATGTTTGGGTTATACAAACACCTACCGTAGAACATATAAAATAGTGTGCGTGATAAATCCACAACATGCCCCTATGTATATATATATCTTTATATATATTTAAGGCTTTCCAAGCCAGGGACCGAAGCCAGCTATCTAGAAACTACCAGAGTTTGATTCTAGCCTGAGAGCTCCAGTGGTCAACAAACAAACATGTTTTTGTGATAAAGCACAAACATAAAGCTGCAAACAAAAAGTTTGAGAGCCGTTACCTTCTCCAGTGCTCTACTTCGGGACAGCTCTTGTTTCGAGCAGTTACCTCTTCAGTTGGGAAGATGACCGATGTGGGAAGCCCAACTACAGGTTGCTGCCAGGGCTCTCGAAGTTGCTATTATTCACCATGAAATACATACCAAATAAGACATGCACCAACGATTTGCTGTGGCTGCTGTAAAACAATGATAATTCATAATGATAACAATCATAGTAATAATAGTAATAACAGTAATAAATAATAATAGATAATAATAATAATAATGTATAATTAACAGATGGTTGATGGTTGCACGAGCCGGTTAGGAATTTGAACCAGAGTTTTTGTCCATGCCTGAGACCCATTCCTTCCCAACCCGACCATTCAAGCAGGAGCCGCACAATTAGCCAACTTGGCAAACATGACTTCTAAAACTACAGGATTTATGGATGATTGTGGTTGATATATGTTGATATATCGAACTAGTTAACTAGTTAATTTGGCTTACAAACCAACAGTTACATTAGATTTGGGGACACAACGTTGTAATAAGTAATAATCCATTGCTATATCCTGATGAAAGGGAGTACCACTAGGTGAATGGGTTAAACCCCTTCAAAAAACGGGGATGTCTTAGGAAGGATTTTGTTCTTAGCCAAAGTACTGTGCACTTAAACAGTTTAGATCCAAGTCGCTGAGCGTCAAGATACACATCCCATTGAAACCGTCTATAAATGGAAGTTTCAATTGGAAAATCTATAAGCGTTGGATTTTCCATTGCCATGTTTGGTTCCCGGAGGGTAATGTGTATTATGTATTATCAAATTATAATGGGAGATTATTTTCTCATAAACTTTATCCTACTCATGTCATGTCCATGTCATTGTTGGCATGTGTTTTTCAGGTATATCACACCATTCCGCCCCGTGAAATTTGAGGGGTTACTATGGAGTTATAACCCATCCGTCCAGTAACTGTTCCAGCAATTAATATGGATATCCAAATACAGTAAGATTGATTGATATAATCCATTGATATAATGGAACATTATGATTGATATCCATATGTAATATCAACAAATATTACTTATTGGATATAATGGAACATATGTCAATGTGTTGATTGATTCATCAGCCATTGATATAATCCATTGAGTATTTACGCATATTGCAGCATAGCCACATTCATAAATGCAGCAATTGCACGCATTTGTGATTGACCACAAGCAACATGGGGGTGTTTTGAAGTGATCTTTCATGATTGATAATCCCATCGATATAATCCCATGAGCCACTTATTCATGCTTACTAATCCAGTGAAAAATCCCACTAACCTTTGGAGATGGTTGTTACCTTCCCTTTATTGTTGATTTAGTATGGTAGTTAACCTTTATTGATGCTTATTCCCTTTGTTGATATTCCCATTCAAACTTTCATGATGGTTATTAAATGTTATTAACCTTCATTGATAAACCACTTTCTGGTAGTAATGTGGTTAAAACTTAAAACAATGTCATAAACCACCCATTTGGGAATGGTAAACATACCACCTATAAAAATGCTGATGACTGGGGGATGGTTTATGGCATTGTTTTACTCGCATTAGTCCCTTTATTGTTTTTTTTTAAAATGATTCCTAGCTCCTGACGGCTCCGGCTGCCAGGACACGTGCGAAATCTGGTGTGGTCCGGCTACGCTTTCGCTGCCATCACTGAGGATGGTCAAGTTTCTACCTGGGGTCTCCCCACATGTTTCTGGGATCTAAGATCCGGGGAGGATGGGTGAACCTGGGGCTGTCTAAACCAGGAACATCACTGCAAGTCACCAAGAGAAAGATGGTGGTTTCAGCTGGGAAAAATGGCAAAACAATGGGAGCTAGGAGCTAAACTTCAACATGAGTTTTCACATTCGAATATTTTGGGATGAACACCCACATTTTTGCTGAAGTTCTGTGGTCGTTAAAAGTTTAAAATGGCCAAGGACCGCACAGGATCTTCACGATTCACCCAGGTTTATCCAATGTTTCGCTGGTTCGTAGTTGTTTTGTTGTTTCATATACGGTATATCAGCGTATCCTGACAAATATGTTTATCCAATGTTACGCTCATATGATATATATATACCCTTCACCAGTGGGTTTTCCCAATATTTTACCTCATCATTTTCTCATAGATCCATAGCTGATTGGTTTGAATTGACCCAAAGCATTTCGCATTTCCAAATAACTTGGGGTAGCAGTTCTCATTTTGTTTGTTGCCAAGTAGAACTTGTTTCACCTTATCATTTTCATAGAGAAACCCTGTCTTCATGGAAGATATGACTTGGTTTGAGTATCTCCTTGAGATGGCGGCGATCGAGAAGCAATTCATATCTTTTGACCACAGGGATGCATGCAATGCTTCAAGTATCCTCCCAAGTAATGCTGTTCCTGAAATCAGAGACGCTACTCCAGCGAAGCCGGAAGTACATCATTTTCAAGCTGAGATGCATCGGGTCTGAACAAAAATTAAGACTCACACAATGTGAGGCCCCCCAGTGATGTGAACGTTGGTTCATACAAATTCGCCCCAGTAACTAGTTCGTTATTTGCGTACCATGTTTACCATAGTGAAATTGGAGTTATGTGAGCCCCAACTTAGCTATCGAACGGGGGCCTCACCAGTAGCATCTGTCGACAGTTCTTTGCTCGGTGCATCACAGCACTCCGCATAGTTGGAACATGTTGGAACTCTGGTTCCAGAAAAAGGGGAATCATGAAAAAACTACCAAGTACTTTCACCATGATTGTTTGGGTATATATATGTATATATATATTTATTTATATTTATCATAATATCATCCATTTGGACGGATATATATATATACCCCATGATGGTTATTGATAAAATACCAAGTTCTACTATGGATCTAAAGGTAAATATCCATAATAGATGGTAAACATCCCATGATTTATGGGGTTTCAAGCATCCTTTTGGTGGTGCAGGATTTCTTCCATCGTAGATCCATAGCTCCAAGGTGGCGCGGATCTTCCGCCCGACGTCCAGGGCCAGCTGTACGAGGTCCGGCAGCTGGCGGCTTCGCATGCGGCCTTTGCAGCTGTCAGGAAGGATGGCCAGGTGGGTGAGTTGGGCTACCTCCAAAAAGCCACCTCAATAGGGAAAATCAATTACCATCTGGTTATTTAACATAGCCATGGTATAGATGGCCCATGGAAATAGATGGTTTACCTATTAAAAATGATGATTTTCCATGGCTATGTTAAATAACAAGATGGTAATATATATATATACTTGTTGGTGGTTTGGAACATGGCTTTTATGACTTTCCATATATTGGGCATAGTAACCCCAACTGACTTTCATATTTTTCAGAGGGGCAGGTATACCACCAACCAGATATATAGTAATTATAGAATGAACTGGGGATGGTAACTAGGGATGGTGAACATTGAATGAACTTGATATTTTTTTGATTAGATATGATTAGATATGATTAGATATGATTAGATATGATTAGATATGATTATATAGATAATTCATTATGAGGAACATATTTATGAACAGTTTATTGGGCATTGCTATGCGTTGCAAATGTATTGGGAACTATGATAACTCACCCTAGTAGTACAACTCACCTCATTAGTGCTGTAGCAGAATAAGTTGATTTTATAGCAAGTTCACCAGGTTATTTATTGAATATTATTGAATTATATTGAGGTGTATAATCAGCAAGCATCTCATGAGATTGATTTTGTTCAGGTTTTTTCAAGGATTGCTAATGGATTTTGATCTTCCATGGATTCTGATTGATTTCAATGGAGATTTGACTCGGTGAAGGGCAGTGAATGGTGGAACACAAAAACTCGGCGAGTCGATCCTTGGTGAATCTTGCGAAATGGTGGTTTGATGGTACAGCTATCTATGGATATTGCAACATATTTTTTCATAAACTATCTTATATATATATATATTGACGGACTGAAACTTAGAATGCGCACTTGGAAGCGGCACTCCACACGTGCAAAACTGAAAAATTGCATTTTACCAGCATTTCGGAACTTAGAATGCGTCCCCCCACCTAGGATGAAGCTATTCGGCAATCAACAGTTAGAATGCCTCCAAGGACATATGTTTTTTTCCAGGCAGAAACGCATATATATATCCTAGACCCTCCAAGTCACCATAAAAAAGGTAGTTTACCACATAATTTTCATAGTTTTAGCAACTTTTCAGGGTATTTGGAGGTTCTGGGTATAAGAATGTACCTGTTTGAGAATATCAGATTATTTTGTGTGCATTTTGCAGGTCTGGGTAAAGATTCCATGAAAAGTTTCAATGAACCAACGGGCAGCCCAAAGGCACTTTTACTCGCTTTCCCCATTCGATAACCTTGACAAAAGTGAGTTTCCCGTACAAAAATTGCGATTTTGGACACATACCTGAGGTAGATAGGCTTCTGGGAAAAGAGGACACACCCAGCCACTAATGGTGTTGAACAGACAGTTAGAATGTGGCTTTAGTAAAGGATCCCCATCATTGATAAATACCTTTGTTTTATCTCCTAGATGGGCCGCTAGCTGGAATGCCTGTAACTGTCACTGATTGGAAAAGATGTTTATATGTTTTTTTTTAAACGGCAAAACTGGAAAATTGCATTTTACCAGCATTTCAGAACCTAGAATGCCTCCCCCCCACCTAGGATGAAGCTATTCGGCAATCAACAGTTAGAATGCCTCCAAGGGTATATTTTTTTCCAGGCAGAAACGCATATATATCCTAGACCCTCCAAGTCACCATAAAAAAGGTAGTTTACCACATAATTTTCATAGTTTTAGCAATTTTCAGGGTATTTGGAGGTTCTGGGTATATGAATGTACCTGTTTGAGAATATCACATTATTTTTTGTGCACTTTGCAGGTCTGGGTACTTTTACTCGCTTTCCCCATTCGATAACCTTGACAAAAGTGAGTTTCCCGTACAAAAATTGCGATTTTGGACACATACCTGAGGTAGATAGGCTTCTGGGAAAAGAGGACACACCCAGCCACTAATGGTGTTGAACAACAGTGAGAATGTGGCTTTAGTAAAGGATCCCCATCATTGATAAATACCTTTGTTTTATCTCCTAGATGGGCCGCTAGCTGGAATGCCTGTAACTGTCACTGATTGGGAAAGATATTTATATGTTTTTTTTTTAAACGGCAAAACTGGAAAATTGCATTTTACCAGCATTTCAGAACCTAGAATGCCTTTTTTCACCTAGGATGAAGCTATTCGGCAATCAACAGTTGGAATGTCTCCAAGGGTATATTTTTTCCAGGCAGAAACAAATATATATCCTAGACCCTCCAAGTCACCATAAAAAAGGTAGTTTACCACATAATTTTCATAGTTTTAGCAACTTTTCAGGGTATTTGGAGGTTCGGGATATAAGAATGTACCTGTTTATCAGATTATTTTGTGTGCATTTTGCAGGTCTGGGTAAAGATTCCATGGAAAGTTTCAATGAACCAACAGGCAGCCCAAAGGCACTTTTACTCGCTTTCCCCATTCGATAACCTTGACAAAAGTGAGTTTCCCGTACAAAAATTGCGATTTTGGACACATACCTGAGGTAGATAGGCTTCTGGGAAAAGAGGACACACCCAGCCACTAATGGTGTTGAACAGACAGTGAGAATGTGGCTTTAGTAAAGGATCCCCATCATTGATAAATACCTTTGTTTTATCTCCTAGATGGGCCGCTAGCTGGAATGCCTGTAACTGTCACTGATTGGGAAAGATATTTATATGTTTTTTTAAACGGCAAAACTGGAAAATTGCATTTTACCAGCATTTCAGAACCTAGAATGCCTTTTTTCACCTAGGATGAAGCTATTCGGCAATCAACAGTTGGAATGTCTCCAAGGGTATATTTTTTCCAGGCAGAAACAAATATATATCCTAGACCCTCCAAGTCACCATAAAAAAGGTAGTTTACCACAACATATACATACATACATGTGGATAGATTTTTCGGGCATTATTATACGAACCCACGCATTCCATTGAAAATAAAGTAGTTTTTTTTGGAGACATAGTTGGTGTTGCAGACAGTTAGAATGTGGGAGGCCATGTGTTCCTTCAAAACAGTGGTCATTTTTGGGAAACACACGTGGTTTTGTAGACGATTAGAATGTGGGAGGTATAGGGCAGGGGTACCCCACAACCCAATCGTACCCTCATTTTTTGGGGAAACATCTCTGGTGGATATATAGATCTTGGCGACAACACGAAACCAACATCGAATATAAATAGGTTTACAAGCAGTTAGAATGTGGGAGGTAGGAATGCCTAAAACCCATGAGTTTCTTCAAAACATTGATTGTTGGGAAATATATATATATATATACTTGGTTGCGCAGACAATTGTACCCCACAACTCATGTGTTCCCTCAAGGTTCCCTGGTGTTTTCCTGGAAACATACATACTTGGTATGTATATAGAAAGTTTTTTTAAAAAGATGATGCAAACCCACCCATCCATGCTAGAATATGCTAGTGCCGGACCATGTACCTTGCACCCAATGAGGTTCCCTAGGCCACATTTTTTTAAGCTACCTATCTATATATTTATTTTTTTAAATATATGTACAGTATATATACACACACCGACAGACTGAAACTTCGAATGCTACGCTCCTTTCCTGAGAGTAGTTTACAGACAGTTAGAATGCTCCATGATGCCCCATCCGTCATTTCAGTATATCTTTATCTATCTTTATCTAAACACTTTGGGTCAGCATTCTATCTGTCTGGTCGCCGCCCGGGGCTGCGCTGCATTCTAAGTTTACGAAAAAGGGAAATTTGGAAAAATGGCGCGCATTCTAAGTTTCAGTCCGTCAATATATATATATATATATGATTGGTGGTTGGTTTGGAACATTTTTTCTCCATATATTGGAAGAATATTTCCAACTGACTAATATTTTTCAGGTGGGTTGAAACCGCCAACCAGATTATTATTAACCATCATTAACTATATAATAATAGCTATAATAATCAACCATTATTAATCATCATTAACGATTATTAACCATTATTAATAACCACCAACCAGTATAATATGTGTATTCCTATGGATCCATGGCCACCTCCTGAGAAGGTACGGCAAACCCCCCCAAATCGTCATAGCCCAAACACTTTCCAAGAAGGTACTTGGATCCATAGGATCCATAGGCTATGGTATATTACCATGTGAGGCCCCCAAGATAGCTAAGTTGGTGAACATAACTCCAATAACTATGGTTTATGGTACGCAAATAACTATAGTTACTGGGGCTTATAAACCAACATTCACATCACTGGGGGGCCTCACATTGTACCATGATAACACTACGGTGTAACTTGCCAACTATGTAATAAACCATCGGATGGCAACTTGGAGTGTTGCCACATCCACATCATGTGTGTTACACTTATAGGATTGTTGTAGCATTTCACAAACTCTTATTTTGAGTCTTTTATATCAAGATCCTTCAAGATTTAGCAATATTAACCATGCTTAGCATATCATTTGGCTTAAAAATCAACCATTCTCTCGCCATATGGAGGTTTCCTAAAATGGACCACCAAATCATCCATTTATAGATGGTTTTTCCATTATAAACATTTATAAACCATGAACTGGTTGGTGGTTGGGAACATGCTTCATTTTTCCATCTGGTTGGGAATAATAATCATCCCAACTGACTTTCACTCCATCATTTTTCGGAGGGGTAGGGCTCAACCACCAACCAGATTATTATTAACCATCATTAACCATATAATAACCATTAATATTAACCATTATTAACAGTATATTAACCACAATGGCAGGTCAACCACTGAAGCATTAAAAAGGGGTACCCCCCATGACTTCGGACAGCTAAAGCTGACCCTAACGCAGGTCATCACCTGGGGCAGTCCGGACTTCGGAGGTGACTGCAGTGAGGCCGGGAGCCGGGAGCATAAAGAAAAACCGGCCGGGTCCCAAGCGGTACAGTTATGGCCATTTATCAGTTATAAGTACTAACAAAACCCCATTTATAGAATGTATAATCCCATAGAAATAACCAGTTATAACTGGTAAATGGCCATAACTGTATCTACTCTAAGTCATTATGGAAGCACACATGACAATAGCAACCCCCCATGCTGAACAGGGAAACTTTTTATTTTTCTACCAGATGATTTTCCAGTCTACAAACGATGTTTAGACAAAAAGCCTTGGGTTATTTCACTATGAAGGTGTTGGCACAACCAATAGTAAGACCATTCCCAAGTTTGCCAGAAGTAGGTTTTCAGCCATACAATTCACAATGAGAGGTTTCCCATGGGGTTTATCTCATTGCAACTATAGCCATGGAAAATAGCCAACTTGCGGATGATTTACCGACTGAAAATGGATGGAATCTGGTGATCTACCATTGCGAAGTTGGGTCACCAGAGGGTTGTTTCTGTGTCAACCTTTGTTTGTTTAGGTTGTTTTTCTTCACACAAAACTAACTAAAAGATGTTCAGAGGCTACACAGAATAGATAAATTAATATATATATATATATTAATATATATATATGTATAGGTGCATATTACTCGATATTTGACAGCCATGTATTTGGAAGACCCGCTTTTGGTCCATTTTTCCCTGGCTTTAATTGGGTTTGCCATGGAAGGTGCAGCCTTTGTTGCGCGAAGTGCAGTATCTGGTGGCGTCCAGTCGAGCGTTCTGCGCTGTGAAAGCGGATGGGTCAGTGGTGACCTGGGGAATGGACCCATGGCTGGAGCGATGGGGTGCACACATGTGCTATCAACACATGATCTATGTTGCCATGTTCCCATTTGAATTGGGTGATGGTAAGAATTGATTCTATTTTCATAAGGAATTTAAGGAAGAATCTACAATAGGGAATATGTGTTTCTGGTTCGTGGTTTGGAACATGAATGGATAGTTTTCCCCAATAGTTGGGATGATGATCCCATCTGACGAACTCATATTTTTCAGGGGGGTAGGTCAACCACCAATTAGTGATCTGTTCCCATGAATTGGGTGGGAAGAATCTATCCATTTTCATAGGGAATTTTTAATATGTTACACTGGCCATCACCCATATGCTCCATGTATGGAATATTTACCTACATTTACCCCAAAAATGGCCCAAATGTAGGTAAATATTCCATACATGGAGCATATGGGTTATGTTTGGATGCCCATCATGAATATTAATGCAATGGATGATCATACCACACAAGGTTTTGACCATGGCACATATATCAAGGGCTTGGAGGCTCACTGGATAGACCTCGGATGGCTTGGAACTCAATGGGATCGGCTGGAAAAATGGCTATATTAGTGTTGCTACACATGCGGATATACCAACCTAACCAGTCGAAAAAAGTAACTTTCTGCAGGGTCTCAAAGATTGAACATGTTAACATAATTTCTTGAATAGGATTTAGCTTGAGACGAGGACCGGAGGGCTTTCATTGTACCCATAAACAAAGGCAAAAGTGTTGGGCAAGCTAAAATGTGGCCCATGACGTAGGTTCCAACAGAGTTTGTTTTTTAAGTTGTCTGTTTCGTGATTGTTTTACATGGTTTTCTCAATGAGAAAACATTGAGAAACCCACCACTGGGAATCTATATATGGGTATGGTATGGGTCAAAATTAGGTACCTCAATAATTGGATGGTTCATACTAAACTAAACTAACATCTGTGGTCCCCTAGGTCTTCCATTTTGACCCACATCCATATAATATTGGAATATTGGATAATTTGTGTTCATCTTTTTGGCCCCAGCAAATTCAAGTTTTCACATCTGCTGAAAGTAGCCAGGATGAAACGGGGAGCTCTGCGCACAGAGCGCCAGAGTGGGGTTCATCATGAGTTCGATGAGTTTGATGCAGCTGTAATCCCATCTTGACGAACTAGTGGTGTCCCAATAAAACATGTATAAGTTGTGTCAGTCTAAAAGCATGGACCCGTGAATTGATAAATCATGTTTCTTCCGAAGAACGGACCATACTCTGTGGGCCTGGGTGTTTTAAATTCTGACCCAAGCCCTTGAATTTGCGCTATAGGAAAGTCATGGTGGCTGCAGCAGTAGTGTCCAAAGCCAGCTACATTCGGTACAGCAAGTGGTGGCCACCAGTCGAGCTTTCGCAGCCTTGAGAACAGATGGTGACTTGACATTGAGTCTCACCGACAGTTTTTTGAATAAGAACTATATAGGTTAACTAGTCATGACTACCTTCATTCAAAATGTTCACACTGAAGCTTTCCCAGTATGATTTTCCTATCATTTAGTATGATTTACCTATCATTTAGTATGATTTTCCTACCAGAAGCTCCTTATTTCGTTGGTGGATTTTCACTTGCTAAATGGTTGATGATGAGGCGCTCCATTTCATGACTTAAGATCCAACCCCCAACGAAACGTCGAAACGATCAGATGGAGATGATTCGTTTGGGGATTTAAAAAAAAAAGTCCCCCATACCCTCTGGTTATTTAACATAGCCATGGAAAATCACTATCTTTAATAGGTAAATCAACTATAAATGGGCCATTTTCAATAGCTATGTTAGATTACCGGAGGGTACATTGGGGATTATATTCAATAATCCAAGAACGGGGAATCCCTTTCTTAACCAACCAGAAATGGAAATGGAATGATAGAGAGATTTTGAACACAGATCTTAAATTACTTTACTTCGTGTGATCCCCACCATGACATTTATACATTTTGTTACTCGCAAATCTTCTGGCATTCTATCTGACATATCTTCTGGCATATCTTCTGGCATATGTTCTAGCATTCTATCTGGCAAATCTTCTGGCATTCTATCTGGCATATCTTCTGGCATTCTATCTGGCAAATCTTCTGGCATTCTATCTGGCAAATCTTCTGGCATATATTCTGACATATCTTCTGGCATTCTATCTGGCATTCTATCTGGCATATCTTCTGGCCTTCTATCTGGCATATCTTCTGGCATTCTATCTGACATATCTTCTGGCATTCTATCTGGCATATCTTCTGGCATATATTCTGGCATATCTTCTGGCATATGTTCTAGCATATCTTCTGGCATTCTATCTGGCATATCTTCTGGCATTCTATCTGGCAAATCTTCTGGCACTTTATCTGGCATAACTTCTGGCATTCTATCTGGCATATCTTCTGGCATTCTATCTCACATTCTATCTGGCATCTCTTCTGGCATTCTATCTGGCCGTTGAGGTCCAGCGGTGCACACTGAGCTGGGCAGGTCCCAGGTTGAGGTCCAGCGGGCACACCGAGCTGGGCAGGTCCCAGGTTGATGTCCAGCGGTGCACACTGAGCTGGGAAGTTGGCAAAGAGCTTGGCGCAGAGAGTCGGCGAAGAGAGTTGGCAAAGAGCTTGGCGAAGAGTTGGCAAGGCGGAAGTGCAGGTGGAAGTTGATGCAGACATGGTCGAGGAGAAACTGGAGGAGGAGGACGAGGAGGAAGAGGACAGCTAGTCGAGGAGGAGGAGGATGACGAGGACGCGGAGGAAGAGCGCTCTGATAAAATCTAACAACGCTCACCTGATTCATTGAATTGGTGCCAACAACAGCATTATCAGCATTTCCATTGATTTGTTCTCATAATGTTTCATGGGTTTGTTTGAGCAATGTGCTCGAACATGTTTTATTCATGTTTGTTCTCTTTACCCCTAAAACACTATAATTGTGATTGTCCTCAAACATATTTATATATTTGGCATACTGTAAATTCCATTCAAAACACATCTTTTTGAAGATACCATAGCAGGAATGCTATGAGAAGATACGACATATCTACATCCTCAACACATGTGTTCATTATCATTGTTATCATATTCGTCAGCAATGCCAGCAAAGATGTTTGTGATAGTCATACCGAGAAACACATAGACCCATATACTCCATAAACATTGTATAGTTACCGTATATATCCGTATATTTACCTAGGGCAAATTTAGAGGTACTTTTGTTAACACATATGCCACAGATCTGGTTGAATTATAGTGACCTCACCGTGCGACTGGAATCATGGTCAGTTACAGAATCCTCCAGGCCCATGAATCATCCCAGCTAGCGTAAATGGTAAACATTTACATAGCGCCAACTGGAAAATCACTAACAATTTGAATAGGTCAATCTTATCAGATATCTTAAGAGATGATACCCTCTGGTAAACATACAAAAACTATATGGAAAATCACCATGTTGTAGTTATAGCCGGGTAAATCAACGAACTTTCTATGGGCGGCTTCAAGTTCGCAAACTGTAAACGTTTACCAAAGGGTATTCTACCCTCCGGTAATTTCACAGTTCGCTATTGAAAATTGCCCAGTCGAAATAGTTGATTTACCCATTAATACTGGTGATTTTCTATAGCTACAATGTGACGCCCCCGTTCGATAGCGTTCAGTTGGGGTTCACATAACTCCAATTTCACCATGGTAAACATGGTACGCACATAACGAACGAGTTACTGGGGCGGATTTGTGAACCAACGTTCACATCACAGTTTGTTTATAACTCCAATTTCACTATGGTTTATGGTACTTATAACAAACTAGTTACTGGGGCGAATCTAAACCAACTTAGCTATCACGTTTGGGGGCATCACATTGTACGTAAACGTCGTCCCAGAGGGTAAGTTACTCGGAGACATGGCATTTCTGGGATCTCCATGGGAGCCGAAAAACGAGGTGAGGTGATCACCTGGGGAGCTGCCAACTATGGGGGTGACCGACGCTTGGACGAACATGGCGAGCCATGATTGAAAAAAAACATGGTTTGTTTGGGTTAATGATAGCTGATAATTGCTGGTTGGTGGTTTCAAACATTTTTTATTTTCCATACTATATGGGATAATCCTTCCCATTGACTAATATTTTTCAAGATGGTTAAAACCACCAACCAGATTGGATAGTTAGATCATAATCTCCAATAAATTGTTAGTTAGTTCATTTCTTGGGATACGAACTATAATTTATTGGGGATGATGATAAGCCATAGTAGGGAAACCTGTCAGATCATCAACCAACTCGTATAATGAGATGGGGCCCGGGGGTAGGCTCAACTTACGTAGCTACGGAAAATGCCAATTTCTGGATGCAATGATGTACCCTTTGGTTAACGTAGCTATGGAAAACAACCCATAGATGATTTATGATGATTTACCTTTAGAAAATGGTGATTTTCCCATAGCTTGTTTTTTTTGCTGGAGGGCAACTATCAACTTGATGGGGGGATGTATAGTGAGATGTTTTTTCTTTGACCAACATTGATAATGATTGGATTAGTGTAGCCAATCTACTGTTGGTTATAGATACATCTCATTTATAATATAATTATACAATCATTAGAAACATGGTAATCTACTGTTGGTTCCATTTTATAGTTTTGCTGAAGGTTTTTGTTGTTCGCCCTATTGGTTCATCCACCATAAAAGCGACCGGAATCGGGGAAAATTCGTGTTTGGGTTCCGGTTCCTGGGCGGACGGGGCATGTTAAGCAACGGATTTATGGTTTGGTTATTATTGATGTTCCATGATTCTAATTAGATATACCGTGATTTTTTCAGAATCATTCAGAAATTTAAGGATAGTTTTTGTAGATGAAGATTGTTTTCATATGATTTTACCACTTTCAAAATATCTCTTGCGTATTGTTTCTACTTGCTGCTTTTCAATGGTTGATCAGCTTTCCAGCTTAGTTTTCATCCCATCAGATGGAACAATGGTCCCAAAGTGACTAGTGCACTTCCAAAGGTTCACCAAAAGTTCAGCTGCCCTTTTGGTGTGTCTAAGTATTGCAAGATGAGGACCATTTAGGTTCCATATGGTTCCATATACCCGGAACATAGCCATGAAGATCTATTATATAGTATAATACTAATATTGGTAAAGTACTGTAGCAAGTTGACGTTTCTTCGCGGCCGCGTAACATGACAAAGGAATACCAACATACCAACAGTTCATTTCACATAGTGAAACCGGTGTTTTCCATTGCCATGTTGGCTGTGAGACCACCAGGACCATTGGCTTAGCCTCTGGTAAACAAACAATTTGCGAACTGGAACATGGCCCAGTCGAAATCGTTGATTTACCCATGAAACATGGTGATTTTCCAGTTTTTTGTAAACGTTTACCAGAGGGTATACCTTTCAAAAGTAAACCACTTCGGATGCTCAATTCCGTCAGAATGGTTTTAATCATGTCGGAGAAAAACAGTCGGGGCGGCCCCCACGTGTGCCTAAATGTAATGGGTATACCGGTATACCCATGAATATAATAGTCAATTATACAAATAATGTGATTGGAAATAGCATGGTATAGACACCACAATCCTAAATGTATGGCCATACAAACATGGTATACCACTATTAACTAATCAACTAGTAACCATTCTTAACCATTATTGATATAACATTAGTATTTGTAATGGGTATGCAAAAATGCTTCTCTATGTTCTTTGGTGGGCTAAAATGTCATATCCGCTGGGGCTGCCCAGGTCAGGAAGTAGAGAGCCAACTGAAAGATGTACAGCAGTGCCTGGGTGTAACTCAGCCGTGCGTTCTTCCAACGCGAGTTCGTTCCTCGTGAGTCGGCAATAAACATAGTAAAATTCAGTTTTATATGGGTGTTAATATATATATATATACAGCGTGTATATATATATATGTATATATACAGTGTATATATATATATATGCACGTATATACAGTATACATATACATATACATATATATATATATATGTATGAATATGTGGTATGTGGTTTATAAACAATTGCGAACTGGGATTCTCATCTCGGTACCTTTGAGGTTTTGTTCTACTTTTGCAATGCCGCACACGACACTACTGTAGTGGTTGTGAAAGACGTTATTATTTTGTTTTTTTTGTGAAATCCAGCGTGTATTTTGTTGGTGATATATTTTGTTGGTCGACCCCCTTTGTTGGTCGGTGGTGAGCTCATTATTTTTTCAGGACTCTCACTTTTGTTGGTCAACTTCCCATTTTCCTTGGTTTGCAGATTAAGACATTTCTGTGCTTAAATCGAAGATGTTCGGTGAACTTGCCCATTCTTGGCTACTGAAATATTCCATCTTTTGGGTGGTTAAAAGGACTCAGCTGGTGAAATCATGTGTCTTGGATGACTCTCCATGGCTGCCGAAATCTCTTTCTCGCTGGTAGATCCAGATCTTCATTTTTTTAGCTGGCGAAATCAATTCACAATCTGTTCAAATCTGGTTGGTGGTTTGGAACATGATTTGTATGACTTTCCATATATTGGGAATGTCATCATCCCAACTGACGAACTCATATTTTTCAGAGGGTTAGGTCAATCACCAACCAGAAACAGTCGAACTCCTCCATGTGTTTTGCATTGCTGAACTCCCCATGTTGTGCTGATTCCTATTTGTTGATCATTAAATCCTCATATTTGTCGTTGAAAAACCCCTAATGCCCCCTGATGTCACCTGCCCAGTTGCCTATATAAAATGGTGCCCCGGAATTAGCCAAGTTGGTTCATAACTCCAGTAATTGTTGGTTTATATTTTTGAATAGTGTAGATATATCGAACATGTTTGAACTACTTACAACAATGGGATACCATTGGGTTATAAAACAACTTGCCCTCCGGTAATCAAACGTGGCGTGCTGGAATATCCCCGAACTAGTCACGGGGCATTTTGTCGCTGGGAACATCATCAACGGGGGATTGTCTAGCGCCAAGTTTGATGACACCGGAAGGTATGAAAATTGGGGATGGGATGGGTTTAAACCAACTCGTAACTATAATGCATCTATAGATATAATTATATAATTTGTATATATATATATATACAATTATATATATATAATGGGGTGATAAATCAACTTATAACTGGAGAGGGTTTCCACTTTGCAGGTTGAGTTCTTCTCATGGTTCCTTTGCCGCGATCACTGCCTCCGGCCACTTGCTAACGTGGGGCCTGCCCCTGAGTGGCGGCGGTATGCAGATGCACATCGATGGTACATGACACCAGATCGTATCGCTTGTTGCAGGTTGATGCTGCCCAAAAGAGATCTGGTTGGTGGTTTGGAACATTTTTTTTTCCAGAATATATGGGATAATCCTTCCCATTGACAAATATTTTTCAAGATGGTTAAAACCGCCAACTAGAAATGGTGCTATCTGAGAGATCACCCAAACAGTACTAAAACCTTGGATAAGTGCTTGCGGACTTTGCTTTGTTTGCTATACATTGGGATATGTAGGATAGCTGGTATATATATATATATTCTGATACGCTACTTGTATGTGTAAATGGCTACATCTATGATTATGTGCATTTTGTTTGTTATTATATATATATATATATTTAGTACATCAATAATTGTGTGAAAGTCCTTTTTTATTGTCAGGTATCTAAGATTGGCAATAGGGGTGCGCTAAAACCTGCCTGTGATGCCATTTCCGGGTTCATGGGTGAACTGACCGATAGTCGTAGCCATGGAAACGTGTTGGAAAGCTGAACCTGAATAGGCATTACCCTCTGGTAAACGTTTACATAACTATGGAAAATCACCATTTTTATTGGGTAAATCCACTATTTCTATGTCCATTTTCAATAGCTATGTTTATTTACCAGAGGGTACTGTATAGATCCCCACCACTTGAACTTTGGATATAGATACCTCAAACGAGGATTATCTACTTGGTGAAATGAGATGAAACAAGAGAAATACAGAAATAATTGGTGGAGGGCCATTGTCCATCATTGCATAATACGAGGTGCAGCACCCGAAAAATTCAAAAAGAGAATGAAGTACATCACCCTCAGAATAGCAGAGGAACTTCACCCCACAAGTTGTGCTTTTGAGTTTGACCGCAGAAAAAAGCAAAGAGAAAGCAGGTACTTGGATGTGCATCTTAATCTTAATCAGTACAGTAGCTGGCCAATCAGCATCTGCATATTATATACAGCAATTATTTAATTATAGATATACAGGATGGGGCCCCCAGTTATAAGCTGTTTCATAAACCATAGAATTCAGCCACTTATAGGGCAACTTAGCTATTTTGGGGGCCCCATCCTGTAGATATCTATCTATCTACATAGAGATATCTAGATGGACATTCCCCATCTTAAGTTCGCTTATGCTATGGTCATGGTCCAAGTAGCTTCCAGTAGTATGGTAATGAGATGTGACGGAAAACCTCCTAGTTTCAACGCAGAACATCATCATCATCATCATCATCATCACCATCATCAGTCGAAAAAGCAATTTTGTACAAATGTAATTGCATCTAGTGAAATGTTCATACATACATATGATATATATATATGTAAATATTGCTATATATTTAAAGCTGACCTTATAACTATTAGGTATAGACGACATACATCCCTTTTGAGGATCTCAAGTTTCAGAGTGAAGCCGATGCGTCGACCAACACGGTAAGACAAGACTGGCTTTGCGTGGCTCCGCTTGATTTGATAAAAAGTATTGAGCTGTTTTGGAGTGGATGCGTCCTATTAAATTCTGCTGGTGGGGTTGGCTGGTAGATTCAACGTGATTCAACCAGCGAGAGTGGACATGTATCATAGCAACAGAATTTACAGTTATGGCCATAAAAACCAGGTAAATAACTGGTGATTTCTATGGGATGATATATACATTCTATAAATGGGGTGACTTGTTAGTACTTATAACTGATAGCCATGGCCATAACTGTAGTTGTGCTTTCAATCGAGCGCAGCCTCCGCTGTCATCAAACATTGCTGGAAATCCCCAACGAAAATGGAGGTCTTCAATGGGTTTGATGAAGAATCACAACGGTTGGTGGTTTCCATTTCATATATGGGGATGGGTCAAAACCCTGGTACCTAGTGAACCCCAAAATAGCTGGTAAATGGATGTTCATCCCACTAAAAATGTATCTATAGGTATTGACCCATACCCATATGGGAGAATTCTTCCCAGTGACGAAGTCCATCATTTTTCAAGATGGGCACATTGCACCACCAACCAGATCATCTTCTAAGGGTGGATCTTCCAGCCGCGTTTCATGACCGGAGGGCGGGACTTTCATCACTGACCGGCCAAGACTGGGGACAAGTCACGTCGCGTCGCTCGGTCACTGAGTTTTGCAATGGGCCCCAAAGGATATGTAAGGTGGTTTATGACCAGGTCTCCTGTGGTTTATGGATCTAACAATTGCTGGAATATGCTGGATATATCTACAGCTCGATGGCTTTAGAAATCGACTTACAACCTGGGGGCGGCACATTTTCTTTCAGCAGGTTTGATCCCAAGCTGGTTCCCAAGCCCGCCCTGAAATCAATGTGCCCAAAGTCGCATACATTTACCATCATTAGAATCATTACCATGATGAATTCCGGCCTTCTGTTACTGTATAGATCTGTATAACATCGTTGCACCATGCACCAGGCTTCTTTCGCAAGTCGAGTCCTGTTCCATCCGATGAGTTTCTCCACCTGGACAGGCAGTCTTTGAAAACCTGGAGCTGAAGAAAGACATCTTCACTCGGTTCGCGACTCTGAGTTCGGGGTGAAGACCTGGAGCAGAGGCTTTGTGAAAAGAATCCCACGATTCCACGCTGGAGGTGTCGTCATTTCAATGGTTCAATGGATTGCTTTGAGAAAAGAAACTGGTTTTGACCCTCTGCATGCGTTTCCACTTGTTGTTTACCCTTAGATCAATACCCCATCCTGCCAGTAAGCCCCCCAAAAAGGGGACCCCCAATTTTTATGAGATCTACATGGCACACCAAGGTTGAAACCTTGGTACTGAATATTATACAAAGAACTACTGGCATCTACTAGATGTATCAGTGATATAGTGGTTGGATGATGTTGGAAGATAATATGATCATATGATATCATATTGATTATGTGATCCTCCAGGATTATCACAATGGAAAATTATAGTTGGAAAATCACTAAATATTATCCAATTACAAAAACTCCATGGATTTCATATTTAAACTATTGATAATGATTAATTATCCAATTATATCACCATAATTGATTATCATATATCTGGGTAAATTATAACGACCTCACTGTTCTCCCTCACTGGAATCATGGTTAATAAGGGAAATCATCCTCCAAATGGCTGAACTATGGGCATGGGCCGGGAAAGGGAAGATGAGTGGCCGAACTATTCAGGTTAGTGAAATATTATAAGTTACCAGATAGATATATATATATATGTAATTATATATATACATATGTATGTATGTATACCCTCTGGTTATTTAACATAGCCATGGAAAATCATCATTTTTAGTAGCTAAACCATCTTTTTCGATTAGGGCCATGGCTTAACCATGGCGAACTGTTGGTCATAACCAGGTTGGGTATATATATATATATAGATACTCATAATATAACTAGAACATTAATATACTATAATAGTATCCTCTTATTATATGGCTTATTGCAAAACTATACTCATAATATCTAGATACCCTCTGGTTATTTACCCATAGGATTATCTCAGTATGTCACAGAAAAAACAACCACTGGTCCAATGGTCCACCGGGGTGCCACCGGTCTCCCGTTCGAGGCTAGATGAAGTCTGCAAGCCAGGTGGGAACGGTGGGAACTTGGGGTAAGCCAGGAATATACATCAAATACATTTATAGATACTATATAAATGGATATATTGTATAAAATTGTATATATATATGTTATAAATGTTTTCTTCTTTTTATGTTCAGATATATGTGTATCTATGAATATATGCCAAAACTGTGTGAATTCATTTACGCTGGGTCATGATAAACTGCTTGCAAACTGGTATGGAGCCAAGAAACGGCCATGGAAAAGCAGCAGGATTTGTATTTTTTCCAATTAAGGTAGTTCCAGATTCGGACAAGTTTACCTTACTCAAATTTGTTGGAGTTGATTTTACCCATTCAATTTTTGAATTGGTAATAACTGGTGCGTATGATTAAATTATGTATCAAATGTTCTTCATCTCTGGCACAGGCTCAACTCTGTGGTATAACTTTGTGAAAATCAACAGGGGGGTTCCCAACTACAGTAGTTTCTTTTGGTTACCTTCAAAATCCAACATGCATCTGCAAAGCATGCTAGGGTTCACCTGAAGGTAGGAGGCTACACATGAAATTCTTCTGGTTTCGGCTTGAAATTGGCAAACTTGGAAGGTTCATACAGACAGAAAGAGTTCCCCAAGTTGTTTTTGTTGGGTTCTGTATATTTCTGTTACCTATCTACGGATATCTCCACCATTAACCCTACAATGTGGTGACTGTAGTTAGCTATTGCAGCGCTTTGTGACTCCAATAAGCAGAGTTGACGCTGCTGCTGAAGCACCAGGGCCTGAAGCACGCTCTGCTGGCTCAACAGACTTGATGTCCGAGATTGCTCTTCTTAAGCAAAAAAGTTTGCAGTTGTCCAAGGACAAGCGACTGGCCACAAAGCAGTTGAAAGTGAATGAAAAGGGCAAAGGCCACGCTGCGCAAGTTTGACAATGCAAGCCTTGCAGAGCTTTTGACACTTCGGGCGATCCTGAATAGGGATTGACACCTTGGAACTTCTAAAGAAAAGCCCGGCAAATTGTTCTGCCAGGGCCATGAGAGCGCTGAAGGAGCTTTCGAATCTTTTAAGGATTCTTTGCGTGCAGGGTAATTAAATTATAACGACCTCCCTGTTCTCCCTCACTGGAATCATGGTTAGTAAGGGGAATCATCCCCATCCTTAGCCCAACAATTCAGGTGAGTGAACTAATTTACATACTCAGATCATCTCAGATCTATAGTATTCTAGAGATAGCGGGTGGTTTATATGTGGGGAACATCACCACCTTAGGAGCCAGGTCTCCACACGGCGCCAAGGCGCCTTCATTTAGAGTGCAGCGAGGTGTGATGATGTGAGCTATGGTCAATATTCTAGTGGTTAATAACCATAAAAAACGGGGCTAGTCGAATCCAATGTTTTTCCCGAATGCGTAGCAAGGGTTCCCGTTTCACTCTGGGGGTCTGGGGGTTGAGGGTGTGCTCGCTCGACGTTGCGTTCGCGAGCGCAACCGTTCGCAACCGTCCGCAACCGTT